GCGGTTCAGGTCACTCCCACACCGAACATGAAGTTCTTCCACACCTCCACACTCCTATCTATTTATAAACGCTGATCTATCTGCTGATCTCCAGCATACATGAGCGTCGGCTGTCATATTGACTGGGATATTGAAGATCATTTTAACTTGAGCATTTAGAAAGAAAACCCAGTTCAGGCGTGATGTAATGAAGCCCAGCACCATTCACACCGCAGTGATTTGATGAGGTTTAACGCTCAGAGTGTAATCCTGATGAGTGTGTAGAGTGTAAAACTCAGATGAACTCACACCTCTGATCACATGACTGTCGCGCTACAGCATCAGACAATATAATGCATCATAATAGTCCATACAACTCTCGACTCGTGCGCTATATATCACATCTTCTGAAGCGCTGGGATATTTAATTTGGACTGATATTTAAAGGGATAGTTCACCCAAAAATGAACATTCTGTCATCATTTACTTACACTCAAGTTTCTCTCTGTTGAACTCAAAAAATTATACTTTAAAGTACAGGTCGACCGATGTATCGGTTTTGCCGATTAATCGGCACCGATAGTTAAATACCGGAACTATCGGCAAAAATCAATACCGATAGTTTTTCCGGGTTGCGTCCTTTGCTGGAGCGGCTGAGAAGGTCCTTGTTATATACAGCAAAGTCCCTATAGTCTTTGTTATGTAGTACAAGAGCGGCCTCTAGAGGCGGAGATCACTGACAGCACGTGCTGTTTGTTTAGACACGTGACGCTGTGCACTGAACAGGGCGCGACAATTCAGAAGCGGATTTAAAACAGACAATGAAATGCTGTGAACACAGTATACTATAGTACATGTTTTCATATCATTACTAAGTGATTAATTTGTTAACTAGATGCTGAAGAAGCACCAAAATGTCAATATTGCGGGACTCACTTAACAGTGAAACATGTGCTTTTGGTCTGCCCAGTATTTAATGTCATGAGACAAAGGTTATTATCAGGACAAACTCTCAAGAACTTGTTTTATAAGATAGATAAAACTTTTACAATTAATTTTTTAAAAGTAAATTTAAAGGGGTCATCGGATGGCCATTTTCCACAAGTTGATATGATTCTTTAGGGTCTTAATGGAAAGTCTGTAACATAGTTTGGTTTAAATTTCTCAATGGTAGTGTAAAAAACACCCTTTTTACCCTGTCAAAATCAGCTCTGTTCACAGTGACTCATTTCGGTTGCATGTTCCTTTAAATGCTAATGAGCTCTGCTGACCCCGCCCCTCTCTTCCGAGCCTCTCTCTGAGAGACTGTAAACTTTAGCCGCATTCAACGTGAAACTTGCTAACTAGCACATTGTTAGGAAAAGCAATTTGCAAAGATTCATAAAAAAAAACCTTATACTAACTTCTTCTGGAGGTGAAGCTGGATCACGAATGATTTGCGCGAACATAGACGCATATATGTACATCGGGGGTGCATTCCCTTCAGAAACAAACATAATCCACTGCGTCTTCAGCGGCTCAGATGCATTAAATTATATTATATTTGTTAGGGCTGCTCGATTATGACAAAAGTCATAATCATGATTATTTTGGTCAATATTGTAATCACGATTATTTAACACGATTATGAGTTGGCCATATGACCAAAACTATATATGAATGATTTCAAATTATTAACAAATATTGTCATAGTATATTAATAATACTAAAATAACACTAATTGTGTGAAAACTGCTTGTTTTCCAGCTTTTTTATTGTTGGAGACTGGGAGTGTTGATATATTGAAAAATTATTTTTTTTATTTTACTTTTTATTTGAGATATTTGGTATACAGTATATGATATATACAGTATCTCACAGAAGTGAGTACACCCCTCACATTATACAAGCTGTACACTCACTACTTTACATTGTAGCAAAGTGTCATTTCTTCAGTGTTGTCACATGAAAAGATATAATAAAATATTTACAAAAATGTGAGGGGTGTACTCACTTCTGTGAGATACTGTATATATATATATACTTGTGCAACCTTTTTATTTATTAGTAATTTAAAGACAACACAACATTCTTGTCTACAAAATTGTATATAAGTGGGTTGACAAAAAATATGAAAAAAATACCTTTCAGGACTTGAGTCCTCAATTGAAAAAATTATTCATACATGTAATTATTTATATATAATAGTTTTTTTTTTCATTGAGGGGTAAAATTAAAGTTATGTTTTTAATTAGCTTTATATAAAAACAGTAGAAGTCTATGGCATGCCTTTGATAGTGTGTGTGTGTGTGTGTGTCTGGAGAGAGGCTGGTACAGCGAGAGCCGCCACACTCTCTCTTGCTGGCTCGCTTTTTCTCTCTCGTTTTCTTCTTAAACTGCTGCTAAAGATTTAGTCGAACGCTCTCCCTCCAGACATCAGACCGCAGGAGTGTTAGCACAGGACCGCTGTGTATGTGTGTGAGTGTGTGTCGGGTTAACTGAAGGTACGTGAACCATACGCTGACTGTACTGACTGTACTCTCTCACCTCAGGGGTTTGACTTTAACTGCATGTCGAACGTCCCAGAGAGCGATTAACCTGAAGAAACAGCATTTGAGACGCTCAGAAATTACTTGTCGTGTTTGTAACGGTGTTTGCTTAACCTGTCATGCTTCTGTTTTCGAGGTTATGTAAAAGTAAAACCAGTACTGAAATAAAAGATTTTTAAAAATGTAATTTGATGTACTAAATTTAAAATCAAAATGAACAGCAAAATTAATAATAAAACTGTATAGACATATTTTTTAAAAAACACATAACAAAATTACTAAAACTTTTAACTAAAACTGAAAGTCATAAAAAATATTTGAAATAAACATTAACTGAAATAAAATATTAAAAATATATATAAAGTAATAGAATTAAAGTAAAAGTAAAGTAATATACGAAGTCATAAAATAACAAAAATTAAAACTAATATCATCTAAATACATAAACTTTATACAGTGGGTACGGAAAGTATCCTGACAGAACTGGAGAGGATCTGCGAGGAGGAATGGCAGAGGATCCCCAAATCCAGGTGTGAAAAACTTGTTGCATCTTTCCCAAAAAGACTCATGGCTGTATTAGATCAAAAGGGTGCTTCTACTAAATACTGAGCAAAGGGTCTGAATACTTAGGACCATGTGATATTTCAGTTTTTCTTTTTTAATAAATCTGCAAAAATGTCAACGATTCTGTGTTTTTCTGTCAATATGGGGTGCTGTGTGTACATTAATGAGGAAAAAAAATTAACTTAAATGATTTTAGCAAATGGCTGCAATAAAACAAAGAGTGAAAAATTTAAGGGGGTCTGAATACTTTCCGTACCCACTGTATATTTTAAAAAATTTACAAATGACAAAAACACACAACAAAATTACTGAAACTAATTCTAAATATTAATGAAAACTGTAATAGTATATCAGTGATAATAAAATGACTAAAATTAAAACGAAAAATATGAAAATAAAAATTAATTCAAAATGTTAATAAAAACTATAATAGTATATGAAGAGCTTGCAGCTCCGGTTTAACCCCAGAATTAAAAGAATAAAAACTAGAAATTATATTTCGCATATACAAAATGACAGCTATTTATTGACCAATAATATTTTTTTTTATATTGTAACATACTTTTAATGACAAATAAATTCTCATTATAGTAATGCAACAGGGCACAAAAATGTTTTCATGCTTCTGTTTATGCAAAATATAGTTCCTATTCAGGTAAAAAAAAAAATTTGGATTAAAATTTGATTTTTAAATCTTATTATAATAGTTAGATTAATTAATTCATTCATTAGATTTTTAGGACACCTACTGTATTCTATTTTATTTTTTCAGTGACAGCCGTGTACCTGAAATCATAAGTGTCACGGTTGCAGTTGCTTGGTTATTACTTTGTATAAATATTAGCTCGGTGCATTAATATAAACTCTAAGAGTTGATGTGCAATCTGAAGCGTTTGGACTCTCTAGCGCCGATGTTTTTCCGGTCTGCGCTCAGGTACCTGCAGGAGGTGGGCTACACCGACACCATCCTGGATGTGAAGTCTCAGCGGGTCAAAGCGCTGCTCGGTCTGGCTGGAGACAGCGGAGAGACACCCGGAGACAAGCGCAGCGAGCCCATGGTGAACGGGACCGAGCCGGCCTCGCTGAAGGACAGCACCACCACCATGATCGGGTCAGACAGACCACAGTAGCTTATTTATTTACTTGAATCACTGACCATATGTCAGCCCATATTAGCTATGCTATTTTATTTTATTTTACTCCCTAAACATATATCAGCGTCTATTTTATTTTATTTTATTTTATTTTACTCTCTAAACATATATCAGTGTCTATTTTATTTTATTTTATTTTACTCTCTAAACATATATCAGCGTCTATTTTATTTTATTTTATTTTACTCCCTGAAGATATATCAGCCTTTGATCAGCCTTTGTTTGTTTGTTTGTATATTTATTTATTTATTTATTTATTCATTTATTTAACTTACTGAAGAAATATCAAAATGTATTTATTTTATTTCCATGTAATTTTATTTTATTTTACTCCCTGAAGATTTATCGGCCCATATTAGCTAATATTTGATTTGATTTGATTTGATTTGTCTACCAAAATATATATCAGTCTCTATTGATTGATTGATTGATTGGTTGATTTTACTCATTGAAAATATATCAACCTTTATTAGATTTATTTATGTATTAATTGATTTATTTGTGACCCTGGAGCACAAAAGCAGTGTTAAGTCGCTGGGGTATATTTGTAGCAATAGCCAAAAATACATTGTATGGGTCAAAATTATTGATTTTTCTTTTATGCCAAAAATCATTAGGATATTAAGATCATGTTCCATGAAGATATTTTGTAAATGTCCTACCGTAAATATATCAAAACTTAATTTTTGATTAGTAATATGCATTGCTAAGAACTTCATTTGGACAACTTTAAAGATGATTTTCTCAATATTTAGATTTTTTTGCACCCTCAGATTCCAGATTTTCAAATTGTTGTATCTCAGCCACATATTGTGCTATCCTAACAAACCATACATCAATGGAAAGCACATTTATTCAGCTTTCAGATGATGCATAAAGCTCAATTTAAAAAAAATTACCCTTATGACTGGTTTTGTGCTCCAGGGTCACATTTATTTTACCTACTGAAGATATATCAGCTATTTATTTATTTGTTTATTTATTTAATTTAACTTCCTGAAGTTATATCGGCCCATATTAGTTTGTTTGTTTGTTTGTTTAAGTCACTGATGGACAGTATTATATTTTATTTATTTATTTACCTACCAGAAGATATATCAGCCTCTATTTATTTGTTTGTTTGTTCGTTTAATTCACTAAAGATATATCAGCCCTTATTTATTTATCTATCTATTTTACTCACTGAAAAAATCAACCTTTATTAAATGTATTTATTTATTTAACTTACTGAAGATATATCAGCCCATGTTAGCTTTATTTATTTATTTAACTCACTGTTGGCCAATATCCTTTCTTTCTTTCTTTCTTTCACTCACTCACTCACATTTCAGCCCATATTATCTATATTTATTTATTGTCCCCCACAATTTATCTCCTCTCTACTTGCAGTTACTAGGTAGGATGAAAAGTCTCTATTGTTGGTAAGAAGCAGAGATGCTGTCGATAGCGTGAGTGTGAAACGCTGGCGTGATGAATGATGTCTGCTCTTATTTCTCTGTGTGTTTGTGGATTGGACCCGCAGTAAAGCGGAGATGACCGGCTCCACCACGGTGCTGGAAGCCTTCAAGTTCATCGAGAAAGCTGCCGCAGAGTTCAGCGATGAAGAGGACGATGACGACAGCGAGGGACAGAACAAGAGCATCGTGGACCTCTCCACCGTGAGTCAGTGTTCACACTGAGAGCCAGAACATGTCAGTTAGCTCACACTTCCTCTTCCTGTTGTAGATGGTGAGGAGGAAGGTGTCTCCGTCTCCCTCCTCTTCCTCAGCTGACATGAGCGACGACTTGGACACGGAGGAGGTTCTGAAGGGCTTCGACTTTCTGGCCAATAGTGAGGACATGGAGGGTCCGTCTGAAGCGCCGTCCTCTGGAGAGCGAGCCGAGTGGGGTGAGAGTCAGCTCTCTTACAGCTAAAAACACCAGCACATGCTTTATAGCACAGATTATACTGACAAACAGGCAAAGATGCACCAGTATAGGGCTTTGAGATCATGCAGAAGTTTGGGGTCGCTAGTTTGCTCGCCAAGTCTGCATTTATTTGATCAAAAATACAGTAAAAACGTGAAATATTATTATAATGTAAAACAGCAGTTTTCTTTGTGAATATCTTTATTCTTTATATGTGACCCTGGAGCACAAAAGCAGTGTTAAGTCGCTGGGGTATATTTGTAGCAATAGCCAACAATACATTGTATGGGTCAAAATTATACATTTCTCTTTTATGCCAAAAATCATTAGGATATTAAGTAAAGATCATGTTCCTTGAAGATATTTTGTAAATGTCCTACCGTAAATATATCAAAACTTAATTTTTGATTAGTAATATGCATTGCTAAGAACTTCATTGCATTGCTAAGAACTTAATTTGAACAACTTTAAAGATGATTTTCTCAATATTTAGATTTTTTTGCACCCTCAGATTCCAGATTTTCAAATAGTTGTATCTCAGCCAAATATTGTCCTAATGTATAAATCTCAATTTCACAAAATTGACCCTTATGACTGGTTTTGTGCTCCAGGGTCACATATATCGTGTATAATTATATACAACTATAGCGCGTCTATTTTCCTATTTTTGAACAGGAGATTTAAATAATCAAATAATAGATAGGATTATATATTATAAAATATGCTTGGAATAATAAGAATACATTTTACATAATAATAATTATTATTTAAATACATTTTACACAATAAAAAGTGTAATAAATCGTCATCCAAATCCATGAGTTTTATCACAGATGTCCATATGAGAAACAGTTACCGTCCGAATAGGGCTTAATATGCTGATTTACTGCTCAAGAAACATTTCTGATTATTATCAATGTTGAAAACAGTTGTGCTGCACAATATTTTTGTGGAAACTGATACATTTTATTTTTCAGGATTCACAGATGAATAGAAAGGTCAAAAGAACAGCATTTATTTTTTGTGACATTATAAATGTCTTTACTGTCACTTTTCATCAATTTAATGCATCCTTGATGAATAAAAATATGAATTTCTTAAAAATAAATGAATAAATACTGACCCTAAACTTTTGAACGGTAGTGTAGTAATATTGATAATTAAAGGTGCTTATGGTCGAGCTGATTGGTGATATTTTAGTATTTAGTTTTTATTTTTACATTTTATATTTTTTGTTACAATTTTAGTAATTTTGTTCTGTGTTTTTGTTATTTTTATTAGTTTTTGTTTTTTTAATATGTCTGTTTTTAGTCATTTTTATTTTCATTTGAGTTATTATAGTTCATGAACCTTAACTAGGTCAAAATGAGAAATATTCTTGTGGCTGAACTAGCTGAAAGTAATAATTTATAAGTAATATTTTTTATTAGAAATTAATGAAAGAAACATTAAAATGTAAATATTATAAATATTACTATATATATTTTTTTATTTTATTTTAATATCATTTTATATTTTTATTTTACTTTATATTTCAAGTAACAACATTTTTAAAATATTTTTCTATGGTAATAACCCTGGTGCTACAATTATATATCAATATATTACGTTTATTTTCCTTGCAGTATTGCATTGATACTTTAGATGTTTGGTTAGTTTTTATTTATCTCTGCAATCATATAATTTCATTTTAGCATACAGTAACTGTTAGACTGAAATCCTCTGAGAAGTCGTTTACAGCAGCTCTTCAGTCTCTTTGAAAAGCGTTTTGCTGCTCACAGTTACTCAGTGCATCTCTCGGCTCCAGTAATGCTTTAGAGAGAGTTCTGCGGGTTATTTATCATGTGTTGCAGATTGTTTTGTGCTGTTTTTCCAGCATCATGCAGGAACGAACACAAGCTGCTCCTCGTTTTGTCTTTCATTGCAATCGATGGCTGTGTTTTAGTATTTCAGAGCAGCATCAAATGCACTGGATGTGTTTGAGTTCCTGTCTCCTCGTGTGTTCCTCACACACACACACACTCTCTCACTCACACAGACACACACACACACACACATACACACTCTCTCTCACACACACAGACACACACACACTCACACACACACACACTCTCTCTCACTCACACACACACACACACACACACACTCACTCTCACACACACACACACACACACACACTCACTCTCACACACACACACACACACACACACTCACTCTCACACACACACACACACACACACACTCACTCTCACACACACACACACACACACACACTCACTCTCACACACACACACACACACACACACTCACTCTCACACACACACACACACACACACACTCTCTCACTCACACAGACACACACTCTCACTCTCATGCACACACACACACACATACACACACTCTCTCACACTCACACACACACACACACACACACACTCTCTCACTCATACATACACACACTCTCTCTCACACACACATACACACACTCTCTCTCACACACACACACACTCACTCACTCACTCTCACACACACACACACACACACACTCACTCGCTCTCACACACACACACACACACACACACACATACACACACTCTCTCACACTCACACACACACACACACACACTCACTCGCTCTCACACACACACACACACACACACACACATACACACACTCTCTCACACTCACACACACACACACACACACTCACTCGCTCTCACACACACACACACACACACACACACATACACACACTCTCTCACACTCACACACACACACACACACACTCACTCGCTCTCACACACACACACACACACACACACACATACACACACTCTCTCACACTCACACACACACACACACACACTCACTCGCTCTCACACACACACACACACACACACACACATACACACACTCTCTCACACTCACACACACACACACACACACTCACTCGCTCTCACACACACACACACACACACACACACATACACACACTCTCTCACACTCACACACACACACACACACACTCACTCGCTCTCACACACACACACACACACACACACACATACACACACTCTCTCACACTCACACACACACACACACACACTCACTCGCTCTCACACACACACACACACACACACACTCACTCACTCTCACACACAAACACACACACACACACACACACTCCCTACCCCTCAATCCATCTCTGTTGAGTCTCTGAAGAGAATTGGACTGATTTTTCTTGTTCATACGCCCGTCGATCAGCTCTCTAATTGAAAACGGTGCTGAAAGGGTTTAAACTGCGGCTCGGGCCGCTGCCAGAATTCTCCGTGTGTAGTATTTCATGACTTCAGCACTATTCGGACAGGATTTCTCAGGCTGCCGTCAGTCACATGACCATAATGCAGACGCATACACACACACACACTAAGAGAGAGATAAAAAAGGGGGGGGAAAACAATAAACCAACGTTTGTTTTGATGTGTAGAAATCAAGATGAGATCAGACAAAAGTATTTCTTATTCTCAGTCAGTCACAAAACACTATTGTGTAAACTCGCAACAAGATACATAAAAATAACAAAAAATAAAAAAATAAAATCAAGTCAAGTCAAGTCAAGTTAAAGTGACTGTGTGTGTGTATTTGGGAGGGGGGAGTGGGAGAGTCCGTCAGAGTTCAGTGGTGCGTGGGGCAAAAGAGGGGAGGGGGTGCAAGGTCGGGAGGGAGTTCAGCTTCCTGAAAATATATATAAATATGTAATCTAAACTGACTGTAAACTTGTAGAAAACATTTAAAAAGGTCCAGCACCTTTACAGTGGGTACGGAAAGTATTCAGACCCCCTTCAATTTTTCACTCTTTGTTATATTGCAGCCATTTGCTAAAATC